TTTTCTTAAATGAAGCTAAAATTTACCCAGAAAATGAGAAAAATTGATTGTAGTCCTGTAAGAAATAATCATTTAGCTATACTGCAAGCTGTTTTACGTTCCTAAGGAATCGCCCATACAGAATTTTTGTAAAAATAAGTGGTATTCAATTTTTTTAAGGTTCTCAGCTGACAACGAAATTTTACGAACAAAAATTGATCAGTTAATGAAGAGGATTCATGCAGATGATCAGTCGCAACAGATCACCAGACTCAATTTGATCCTCAACGATGTTGTCTCGGAAAGTTCGTTTTTTTTCTTTTTCTTTTTTTCTAGGCGTTTTTCATCCGTTGTCAATGAAATTCCCCAAACTGCCTTGTTGTTGTCTGCGCGGCTCTACCAGAGCTTTTTTTCTTGAATATCTTTTTGTAGTTTATACCGCTGTGCTTATTACTTACGCATGCCATTCTGCTGAATTTGCCGAAGTGATCATTTTCTTTCTCACAAGCATTATTGAGGTATTCCGGCACGCCCGGAATCAAACCCTTCGATCCTGGGCAGCATACTACCGATTAGCATCCAACACCTATCAGCTAGGTATGTGCACGACCTTTCTCAGAATCACTCGTACGGGTTGTCAACAGCTAGCTCGTTCGGCATTTTGCATAATATTTTTATTTGTGAAATAGAATATGTACAGAGCATTTATGGGGGAAGCTTTTTCGTTTCGCTTAGATTTCCATTTCGTCTTAAGTTTTAGCTGGTTCCACTAATAACTCACTATGATTTGAATTTTGTTGAGGTCATTGAGTGTTCGTTCTTTATCCAGAAACACGGAGGTTTTTCAAATTGTCAATGTAGTTCTGTGGAAAGCTTTTTCCTCCTCAACGTCATGGCCCTCATTTTCAGTTTTTGCCCACTTTTCTTCCCAAATGCTATAAATTACTGAAAAATCGAAAAAATTGCTTGAGCACAGGTCATATTATCGCCAATGAATCAAAATTTACATTTATGCTACAGATAAGAAATTACTGGCTTGCAAAGAACGCCAAAGAATGGACATTGATGCACTCGAGGCCACGTTAAAGGACCAGAGGAATCATATCGCGGTCTTGTTTTTTTTTCTACCAGCTTTGAACACTATTGATTACTTTGTTTTTGCGGAATTACCCGGGCTAGTCGAGGCTTTTTTTTCAGATTCTCGAAAAAGCTCTGAGTAATGCGCAAGAAAAAGCACGGAGGAAAGAACGGGAGGCCGAGGAACTTACAGAGCGGATGGAACGAGCCGAGTCGTTGCAGAGAGCTGTTGAAGTTTGTTTTAATAATACGAGAACTTTTTGTAAATTTTTGCAAATCCGCAACAGCAAAAGTGCTTCCCCTCTTCCACAGGATACTTGCTGCAAAATATTCCATGTTTCTATTTTGCTGTATTTTATCTACTTCCCTGCACTTTCCTGTGCCCGACTTACCAGCATTTATTTGTTCGTATACGTCATCATCCACTGCAGCCACCTCCGATTTCTTTTCCCTTTTCTTTTTACTTTTCTTTTCCTTACTTTTATATTTTCCTTTTTTCCCATACTATTACTTTTTCTGGATTATATGTTTTTATCTTAATTAATTTATATACCTTACTAAATTATTGTGTTACCACAATCGTCGTACTGACGAGGTCCAATTATGGTAACATTAAGAAATGTATACGACTTAATGGACCGAAACATTTCTTACCTATAACAAATATTTTTTTACACCCCTTACCTATTTTAATATCCATTTCTTCTTTCCATCATTTCCTTCTTCTATATTCTCTTTTAACCTTTAATTGGAAAGCAAGCTGGAAACGGTGCGGCATATTCGTATGCTAACTTTCCGTCGACTCATGGTCTTTTACGCTACGTACACCGTACTGAAATCACTTCGACGTTTTTTTCTATGAAATATACTTTAAAATTTTCTTCTGTCAGTGAAATTCTTTGGAACGGCGTGTGAGCTCCTGGAGATGTTTTGAAGTAGTACAAGGCCGTTTGTATTTTAAGCTGGATTTTTGGCGGCACAGAACTTCACTTTTAGACAAATTGTAAATATCGGTTATTTTTAAGAAAGGTAAAATTTTCTGGTGTAATTTAGCTTTTTGTATTTTTATTTTTCCACTTTTTCTATTCTACTGGTACACGTTTCCCTACACCTTCTGACTTTTGCGGCGTGTTTGTTTGATGACTGCAGGCGGGATTTGGAGGCAACATAGAGAAGGGGACCGAGGGTATTAGTTAGGAGTTCGAGGCAAGAACTGGAGACAGCAATAAAGCAGTACAAAGAAAAGTGAATTAAAGAAAAGCGGTA